CACACACACACACACACACACACACACACACACAGTCACAAGTGAATGACGGCAGGTCGCCATGGAAACTGCGTTACGCTCCGGGCGGTCGGGGGAGAAAACAAGAAGAGCGCGAGGACTCGTCTCGGTCCTCCTCATTTTCAGCACCACGCGCCCCCCGGACAGCGCCCGCCCGGATGAACTCTCGCGCAGACTCCAGCCCCGCGCGCCTCGGAAGCGACAGAGCCGCGTCAGCACCGAGTCTCACCGCCGGAGCTCACCGGGACCTCAACAGCATAACTAACCCGAGAGGAGACGCGCACTCCGCGGACCCGAGGCTCGGTGGATACACGAGGTTTTAAATCCCCTCTGTAGGAGCCAGTCGCTCCATCACACGCCACAGCAACAGGTAAGACCCTTCCACCGCCAAATAATCAACTTTGGATGCATGTGCACTTACATAAACTCAGAGTATCCACCGATTCGCTATCCCGCAGCTTCTTAGCCGCGGTTAATTGCGTTCATGTGGCAGATTTCAGATGTGAGTAAGTGCGTGATTAGGTGATGAGAGTGAAGCCCAGCAGGACAGAGTGAAACTCAGCGAGGGACCGAGGATCATTCCCACTAAATCTTATAAGTAGTGATGGAGCGTGAAACTACAAGAGGTGAATTATAACCCCCAGCTCCTGGGTTTCAACTCCCACTTCTTACAAAAGTATTGTCAGGACACAAGTTTAGAAGAGGACATTTAAAGATCCTATTCTCTATATGTTTTCACAGTATCTACTTAGACATATACCCTTACAGAACAATAAAGATGGTCAAAGACTTTTAGGATTGCAACAAATGTTGATCTTAGGTGAATAAGAAGAAAGAAATAATGATATTTAGATAAATACAAATACACAAATGTCATGGACACATAAGGCTACCCAGGCAATATTTACACATCTACATATAACAGCTCTATTCACTCTGTCCCATATGTTTAAGATAAACAGACATATAAGTCCTACATTTTTTTGGTGCTAGAATTTATCAGAGACTATAGGAAACTATAAGTTCCCAGAGAACGTTGTCTATGTTTGTTTTAGACTTATAGCCTCGTGTCTATGAGACCCTCGGATTTGTTGGGTTGTCATTGGCCATAGATTATGTGAGAGCTGAGCCGATACGCCTGGATGAGTCACTCAGGCTGCAAGTTTGCAGAAGCGTGCGAAAGGGAAGGGGGGGGGGGGGTAACAGGGGCCAGCAGAAAAACAGTCCTGCAGTGCCTCCCTGCCTCCTCAACACATTGTTTCACTGTATATATATATGTGTGTGTCATTGTCATCGTCTGTATTTATCACATCTGGATGTTTGGAAGTCCACCCATGTGTCACCCACACATCTTTTAGGACCTTTGTGTTCAGGGCTCAACTTCTTTGTCTTGTGGTGAGGATGTCCCTTTTTAAAGTTTCCTTTTGTAGCTTTAACGGATGTTATGGAGTAAAGTGCTGTTACTGAAAATTGTGCAAGTGTTTGTGGTTGTTACAGACAAATGTATAGCCCTCTGGTGACTGACAAACTGTTACCAGAAAGCATCCCATTACCACTCATTAGTATCCCGATGTTTACCCTGCTAGTATTGACAAATCATAGCAATCAGCAGCATTCAGCTGTAGCACTGAGTGACAACTATTGATTAAAGCAAACAATAGATCATAATGGGCTGCTATGAACCACAGTTGCACACTCAAACACAAGTCCCCCCCCCTTCTCTCTCTCCTCAAAACACTCCGATATGCGCCCACTAACACACGCTCAATAATCACATAACAGAGACTCGTCTGACTGCAGCTCAGTTTGGAAAATGTTGTTTGGGTTATTAAAAAATGAGTCTTGTTTGCAGAGATTGATTGATGGAGTCTAGATGCGGAGTGCTGCGTGAGTAACTGCCAGGAGGATTACACATGTGAGAGCCAAACAGAGAAAATAATTGGCAGGTGTTAAATTTCGCTCTGTTTCGATTTGTCTGGCAATTTACAAAAGGTGTTGTGTAACAAAGGTTGAATGTGTGCAGCACTCATTGTTCCTAATATACACACATCATGTGCTGCACAGAGACACGAAAACAGATGTGTGTCTTTAATTAGTGACGTTGGTGTGATTAATGCAGTCTGCTGGTGATGACTCATTCAGCCTAACCCTTGCTCCTCCGGTGAAAACAATCAATAATCAAAGATTCAGTCTGGCTTTACATGTCATTATAATAATGATGATAATAGTAATTATAATCCTCTTACACAATAATTACTTATAAATACATTTTCATTATTTATAATGATATAGCGCTGGTGTGGACTCTGATCTAGATATTGTATCTGACTGAAATAGAGTGTGTGATTTGTATAAAGAAAAAAAACTATGAAGAACTTGGTCAAATAAAAATCTAATTAAAACTATGATGAATGTCAGATTATATGATTTCATTCAAATACATAATTTTTTTGCAATGTCAGTGAGCACTGTGGGAAAATTCAGGCAAAGCAAATCTACATGCTTTGCTCCATGTGCCAGCTTGTCAACACAACATTTCCATTTTACATTGTGGAAAAGCTGTCAGCCAAACTGTGACTTCCAGACAGCACACTGGCAAGGAGTGTGAGCAAGTGCTAAGTGTCTGTGTGTGTGTGTGTGTGTGTGTGTGTGTGTGTGTGTGTGTGTGTGTGTGTGTGTGTGTGTGGGAGGTAGAGAGAGAAAGAGAGCAAGAGAGTTAAAC